TGGGAGATAGAATTGGAGAGAGAAAAGTTGGAAGTGGAGAGAGAAAGGGCAAGAGGTGAGCAGCGGAGAATGGAGCTATTGATGCTTCAGCTTCGGGCTACTATGGGTAAAAGAACTACCAATAATATGGAAGGGTTTGAAGAGTTAAATTTTGAAAGTGCGGAGTAGGAGTCCAGGTTTTTGGGACATGTAAAAGTTTTGTTTTTGTATTTTTGTTTGAATTTTAAGTAATTATTGTATGTTCTGCTTTTGGTTATTGTATTTGTTTTTAAATTAAATTTTAGTCTTATTATACAGATTAAATTTTTTAATTATACTCTGTTTACAAAATATTCTCGCATTCTGTTTCTCCATTCTATTCCTGCCTGCCGTTCAGCTTCTACCCCTAATATTTCATCCTCCAAATCTCTATCATTTTCCATTCTATGATCCTGCTCCATCTCATCTACTGGCCACCATTGCCTATCATTCTCCATATCACAAAGAAAATTATGTAGTATTATACAAGCCATTATCCATGCTATAACACGTACATGATTATTAGAATTAGATATTCTAATTGGTATCTCTCTTAAAGAAGACCACCTATTTTTTAAAACACCAAAAGCATGCTCAATCTTAACTCGAGCCTCCGCTAACTGTAGATTAAAATCTCTAAATCCTCCAGCTGCTTGACTTGCAAGTGGCTCTTTATATGGTGTCATGCAGCGACGTGTAACACGATAAGCCTTATCAGCCAATATGTACTCCTCTGGCCAAGAGAAAAACAAATTTGGCCTTTTGAAAAATGATGTCCCACAAAAAACCGTAGCATCGCCAACAGAGGCTGGAAAACCACTTGAAATAAAAGTAAATCTCCACTTACTATCACATATACCTTGGACATTTAATGCATATTGTTTTTTTCTATTGAAATATGTTTCCCCATGATATGAGGGCCCATATCGTAGTACCATATCAGTACCATCCAAGAAGCCTATGCAACCTGGAAATCCACTCTCCTCCTCGATCCCACTTCTCATATCCCAAAAATCTCTGGTCCCAGGCTCCGGCCATTTTATAAGTCGTGGGAGTAAGCGTACCAAGGCCGAAATCGTCTGATTGCAGTATAATCTTGTAGTTCCTTCGCTAATACCCAACTGGGCTGCTCCCCGGACTGTTGATATCCCATTGAAGCCTAAGAAATACAAGGTGGTAGCTAGCTGAATTGCTGGTGAGGCTTGCGGATTTCGGGATTCATTTTGGAAAATTGGATCGTTACGAATAAGTAAAAGGAGCTGATTGAACGAGTTGCGTTTCATTCAAAAAAATGCCATAAATCTATCATCTGACATTGTGAAAATCTAATGTATATTAACTTCAATTCTACTTCTCATATATACAAAAATCAATTTTTAAATTATTCATTACTTACATGATGATTGAACATAAACTCGCTACGGGGTATAGGCTCTCGTGGCATGAAATACCGTATCATTGGTACTCCAAGCCCAAGAAGCTCAATAACCTCCATTGCCTCCTCCCCTAATCCTTCCTCATTTCCTTCAAACCACGATTCTGGTAGGTTGTTTTCATTGAGACCTGGGATAGCTAGGTTATTCAGTAAGACTGAATAAAGCTGAAGGTCAGAGTCTCTTGGGGTTCGGAGCAACTCGGCAGTGGAAGGTTTAAGAAGGTTAAAAAATAGTGATAGGTCATCGCTATCATCAAATAAGGATTGAACAATCATATTTGATAGCCAAATATCATGAAGTTGATGGATGATTCTTCTTTTTTCAGAAGTGCGTGGCATTTTCCCTGAATGTTGTTTGTGAGTCACTTGTTTTTCTTCTATCTACTCTTCTTATTTTTTTCACCACCCTGCTCACGTAATCTCTGGGTATTCTGTTACTTCTACTAACTTTTACTCGTTACCGACCTCTAGACCTCCGCATCTACCAAAAAAAAAAGTATGGTATGGTAGACTAAAGTAATGGTAAGTTAACCATTTTTGGATGCGCCAAGCTTACATGAAACAAGAAAGTAAGCTACGAATTTACAAGATTTTTAACTTTGAATACCCCTACTCGTACCGTGCTTCGCAGTAGACTATAATGCCGGCACCACATCGCGTCACACACTGTAATGTACTATACAACCACCCAAAAAACTAGCCGTATATCATGACGCCCTCATCTCCATCCATCCCCACCGCCACAGGCCACAAACGACCCATAGAGCACCTCACCTTCACAAAAAAGCACTATTCCGACATTGCCCGCACGCCCTCGTCATAGCCATCGTTATGGGAAAACTTGGGAACGGTATACGGCGGTATGGCACCATCTACCGGACCGTACCATGCAGTACCCATTCGGCGCACAGTTAGGGCTAAGAAAATTTGCCCTACAAGCGAGCGAAAAGCGCGAATCCGCGGGAAGTGCGTCATCCCGGACGGCCATGTTTACCCATCGCACGGTACGTACTGTACGAGTACTGTACCCTTTTGGCAATCGGGGGATCTGGGACGCGGTATGGAGGAGAGGTAGGGCTGGGTGTATACTATATGACGCGGCTTTTACCTCTGGGTTTCATTCTACTCGTAGTGTGATGGAGTGGGCCAAACGCTGGCAGCGCCGTAGCAGTATCAGGCCACTCTAACTTATTGTATCATCAGCGCCAGCCAGCTTGGATACTCGGGAGTCTTCTCGAGTACCGTACTGGCGCCTGGAGGCGTCCCCGTCACGTACCATCACTCGAACCACACCCAAGACCAAATGTTCAGTACCGTACAGTGCCGTAAGGAGCCAGAGGTCAAGGCACACCGGGATCGCAGCTTTCCGAGGAATCATATGTTGAAACTCAGCTGTGGAAAAATAAAAAATAAAAAATATATGAAAATTGGCATATCCAAAGTATATAGCATACGGTATTTATTGGTCTCAGGCTCTCAACTCGAGCTGGTACGGAGCTGTGCCCGCATGGATTAATAAGTAAGCTGAGTTGCGATGTAAGTTAAACCCAGTTGTCCTTCCCGCACATGTAAAAACCCCGGTCCCGGCAGGGCATAATGAATGATAAATAATGGTATCATACGAGTACTGTGCACTCGAAAAACGCCCAATTTCTGGTCAGTGCCACCGCATTCACAGGGGGGGAACAAGCGATCGTGGTATCGTGGCCTGGCTGTGGTACCCGCTCCCGCGCCATTTCGACACTTTTTCTCTCTCTCCAGGGCCGCTGATGGAAGTGCCCTTTGTTGAATTATCTACGAGTACGATATTGTCATAATCCACCTTCCCTCCACGATGGGTCCCACGTTTATCGGGGTCGTCGGGTTGTGGGGGGTAGGTTAGGTGTGCGGGATTACTCGAGGATATCATAATATCGTATACACCTTACGAATCGGCGGGAACAGCAGGCCCTGCGTCGGAGTTATCATTCATAGCTCGGCCCTGGGGTTTGTGGGGAGGGGGAGTGGGAATGGAGTTAATGTGGGTTTTCTGGTAATGTATAATGAGATTATGGGTCACGTTGTCTATTGGGGGTGGGGATGGGGAGGTGGTTTTGACCCGCGATGGTGGAAGTGGCTTGTTTCTTTACTTTATTGCAAGTAGGAATTGGGCTTCGAATGCAACTGGTGCATATATCATGGTCTACCGGTCAAGTGCCGTAGATGTAAGGTCTCGCTCGGGGATGAGCCCGGCCGACCGGCGGTGGGTAGACTAGGGCAAACTCGTCGAAGAAGAATGTGTGTGCAATGGTCAAGGATAAGTGAGGTTCCCATCGGCTGGGGCGGTTGTCTGGTAAAAGAAGTTGTGAGTGGCAGCTTACAGTGCTCGTATTGTATTGTACTGTACTGGCACGGTGTCATACATGCGAGCCTAATGGATAAATGAGTGAGAGAAAGCTCCTTCCCCGTCTCGGTTAACGGTGTGATTGACTGATTGATGGGATCGTGGGGAAAGGTGCTGTTCATCCCCGGCGAGGAATGTACGAGTACAGTGCTTGAGGATGGTACTGTACCGATACCATGAGTATGATACTTGTATGGCATACTTACCGGACGGGGCTGTGCGAACGGCCGGGGTGGGGGGATCAATCTTTTTCACTCGTACCGAATTCTGCTGGCCGTCTTGGCATTGATATCAGGAGGTGCGAGGGGTGGGGTTGGCGGACTTTTTGTACAGGATGGGGATGCTACATATACGGTACCAGTATGATATGATGATGTGATACAAGTAGCGTGATCTTTCTTTGTATCCAAGTTATTGTAGGGGTTCGGACGGGATGGAGGCGGGTATGTTAGGATATCTCTCGCTTGCCGGGCTGGATCGAGTCGAGAAATTATGATACTTGTACTTCTTCCCTGAGATGAGGCTGCGGCTTGAGATGCTATCCGCGCGCGTCTCGGGTTCACTGGACACGGGAAGCGGTGCGGCGAGTTCGATCAGTGAAGAGGGGATTTGTATGTTCGCCTGCGAGTCGCTTCGTTCGTGCGGGTACTTGTATCATACCGTACTTGAACTTATTACGGCATGTAGTATTATGTAATATCATATGTTACATATTCGCATTTTTGTGGTGGTTCGGTTACTTTACTTGGTCGATGCACTTCTGGTTTCACGATACTCGTAACGAGCGAGGGTAAAGCTTAGGAGCCTCCAATCTAACCAATCCTTGTTGCGGCGAGTCCAGCCTGATGCTGGCACTGGCCCTTGGCCTTGGCCCTCCCCAGACATTTCTCACCCCTTAAATTCCCTTTTCTCTTCTTGCTCCTTCCTGCCACCTTCACCCTTTCCCCCCCCCCTCCTCTCTCTCTCTCTCTCGCGTTCCTCATCCTCCCCTAATCCTAGATTCCTCCACCTCCACCTTCGTATCACACGATTATGAAGACGTCTGACATCCTCTACCTGCTTGCTCATCCCAATCAATTGAGGGCGATCATTCAATGGTAATTTTTCTACTCCCACCCTACTTCATCCCCTACTTTCGGCTCTGCTCGCACGGGGCATACGTAAGCTAAACCTCTCTTCTCAATATTTTTTTATAGGAAAGTCTGGCATAGCCCACTTCATGAACGGAGGATTGAGAACGAGTCCCCCACCCTGAAAAGATGCTTCCAGTTCTTGGACCTCACATCGCGGTCTTTCAGTGCTGTTATTCAGGAGCTGTGCCCTGAGCTTTGCGTCTCGGTGGCACTATTCTACCTTATCCTGCGAGGTCTCGACACCATTGAGGATGACATGACCATTCCGCTAGAAGTCAAGGAGCCCCTTTTGCGCTCTTTCGACGAGATTCTCGACAGGGAGGGGTGGACTTTCGACGGCAATGGGCCCAAGGAGAAGGATAGACAGCTCCTCGTCGAGTTCAGCTGTGTGATTGAGGAGTTTGCCCTGTTGTCCGAGAACCATCGGGTGATTATCAAGGACATTACCAAGAAGATGGGGAACGGGATGGCCGACTACGCCAACAATGCCGAGCATAATGTTAACGGAGTCAACACAATTGCTGATTACGACCTGTACTGCCATTACGTTGCCGGTTTGGTTGGTGATGGGTTGACACGCCTTTTTGTTGACACCGGGAAAGCCAACCCGGCTCTCCTCGACCGACCCCATCTGATCAACTCGATGGGTCTTTTCCTTCAAAAGACTAACATCATTCGTGATTACAGGGAGGATCTCGACGATAAACGACGATTCTGGCCCAAGGAGATCTGGACGAAGCATATCGAAAAATTTGAGGAGTTGCCTTTACCGGAGAAGGAGGAGATGGCTTTGAATTGTATCTCTGAGATGTGTTTGAATTCTCTCCAACATGTCGATGAATGCTTGTTCTATCTTGCTGGAATCAAGGATCAGAGCGTGTTCAATTTTACCGCTATTCCCCAGGTCATGGCGATTGCTACCCTGGCCCTGGTGTTCCGGAATAAGGATGTCTTCCACAAGAACGTGAAGATTCCTAAGGGTGAGGCCTGTGAACTTATGATTGAGGCTGGAAACCTGCGATCTACTTGTGGCATCTTCCGGAAATATATGAAGATCATTCACAAGAAGAATACCCCTAAAGATCCCAACTATCTTAATATCAGCGTCACCCTTGGCAAGGTTTGTACCCGCCCCCTTGATGCAAGTCTGATCACTCTTGCTTACTGCGAATATAGGTTGAGCAATTCATTGAGTCCATCTTCCCAACTCCAGCTGAGCACAAAGCTGTTGCGGAGCGTGCGCAGATGCGCACCGCGGGTGAGACGCCAGAGCAAGCAGCGGCGGCAAGGAAGGAGATGATGTTCTTGATTGGCGCCATTGTTGCGACCTTGAGCGTAATCTCTGGAATAATGGTAAGTTCATATGCGAGCATCCTGCCTCCCTTAGATGTGCTAATTGGGATTCAAGATCTTCGTTGCCTGGTTAATGGGAGCCCGGTTCGACATTGCTTTCCAAGAACTCCGGAAGGGCAACTTCAGACCCCCAGAGTACAATCCGGCTGCCGGCGCTCCTCATGGCGAGCTCTGATTCGTTCACTCCAATCTATTTTGGTATACTATCTTTTTTTAATCGCGTTTGGATATCTTTGGAAAGCCGGTGAAATGATAGAGGCGCTATACATACTTCCTTGCATGAGCCATTTGACGTTCGATCTGTTTTCTCAAATGCTAACGAATCTTTTTCGCAATGTCAATTGGTGATGTACACCCCCCTGTCTTTTTTTCTTCTTTTTTTTTTGTAATGCTGTGGGTTTCCTATTTCCTTTACGGCAGTTTGGGAATGGAAAGTGTCGGATCCGGGCACTGCGTTTTGTTTGATGCCCCGCGCCCTAGTCGTTTGTGCCCGTCTAGAGGTTGGGCTGGGCTGAATCAAAGAATTGGGGCGTTTGATGAGAATAATAAACGAGATAATCTTTGCTTTGTTTTTGTTTACTCCTCATTATGGCAAGATGTGATAAAGCACATGTCAAATTGCAATTCAGCATTTTTCACTTGCTGCGGTTGTGCCGAAAACGTGCTTATATTGATGTGTGATTTCTCGTTGACGAGGACTATTCATTTGGATAGACTAGATTGGGGTCTATTTGGGGTCTGGTTAAAACACTACATAAGGTATCTTTGTGTGGGTGGGAGGGGGAGAATATGTGCCGTTAGCACCCGGCGGTGGTAATAGCAGCAGGAACAGTGGCAAAAGTGGACGAATGAACGAGTGAAAATTCTGATATTCAAGTATAAAGCGCAATAGTTCGCAATAGCTACATGATGCTTTGTGAGCTTGCAGGATAGCTTTCACATAAGCGCGCCGCACTATCGTTGGACCGCTCTCCCGTGATGGGTGTATCATACAAGAACTGGCCTTGGGAATAGACACCCCGAGCCCAAATTTTCGGAGATTTTTCCTCTATTGACTGAGGCCGATAATCATACAAATGCACTTTTTCTCGTTTATAGAGAATTCCACCGATAACCTCCCTCTTCCAGCCTATCATAGTCCCCTATACCAAACCACCGGACCGGAATACACAGCCCATCTAAACAAACCGGTAAAGACAATGCAAGATTTAAGGACATTAGAAAAGCCCTGTTAAAAACCCCATACCCACATGCCAATACAGAATTCTGAAAAGAAACCCTAGGGGTACAATTTATAAGGAACGAAAGGAGAAGCAGAGTATGATAAGAGGAAAAGTGAGATACAAGTAGATGGATGATGAAATGTGTTATGGGGTAGGTAGGTAGGTAGGTAGGTGGGCGGTTTTTATGGATTGCACAAAAAGGGGAGGTGGGTAGTGTGGGTCAGGTAGTGTCGGTGGAATCTGGGTAGCATCGTGGGAGCTAGGAGTCAAAAGGAGGAAAAAAGCCTTTATGAGCACCGACGAGAAAGAAGGAAGAACGAAAGGGAGCGAAGAGGAGCTTTTATGAAACACATGATAAGAAATACAAAAAGAACAACGCCCCAAATCACCAGATTGTTGAAGGTGATAATTGGTTTTGGATGGATGAATAAAAAGGAGATATGCAAAAAAAAAAAAAAAAAGAAGACAGACAAGAACCCTATTTCACTTAAAATCTTCGGCTACCGGCGGAATTGAACCCCCAATCACTGGGTCCACCGGCAGAGAGCTTACTTCTGAAGCCGCTCTGGGTGCCGGGGTCACTGCCGCGTTGGTAGGAGGATCCGCTGTTGCCGCCACTACGCCGGGGTGCAGGGCCCTGGCCGAAGCTGCTTCTATCGAATGAGTGGTCACGGCGCATGGAATCCTGGCTGCCGACGCTTTCGTTGCTGTTGCCGCGGTCGAAGGATTGGTCCCTTCGGGCAAATCCAGTGCCACTGTTGCTACGACTGTAGGACTGGTCCCTTTGATCGAATCTCTTGTCAAAATTGCCACGATCGAAAGATTGGTCCCTTCGATTGAATCTCTCATTTAAATTGCCGCGATCGAAGGATTGGTCCCCTCGGGCGAATCCAGTGCCACTGTTGCTGTGACTGTGGGATTGGTCCCTTCGATCGAATCTCTCATTGAAGTTGCCACGATCGAAGGATTGGTCCCTCCGGGCAAATCCGATACCACTGTGGGATTGGTCCCTTCGATCAAGTCTCTCATTGATGTTGCCGCGGTCGTAGGATTGGTTTCTGCTGCTGGTAATGGCTTGTCTGGCTGTATCCCAGGGTCGGGTGCGGCCTTGTACAGATGCGGGTCCCCGTTCTCGCTCAGCGGAGACCGCTCTTCTGGCGGCTTGTTGATTGTCAATTTTCAAAAGCTTTGATTTTTTGTTAGTCAGAAGGCGATTAAGCGACAGGGATCGACAGAACATACTTCTACTAAGCCCTCGGCGAAAGCTTCACGAGCTCTGTCATCGGCCAAAAAGCTATTGCTCCGCGAGTTTCTCTTCGAAAGACTACGGAAGGCATGACCAAGCAACTAAATCACATTAGCGTTCATCTATTGGGAGCGTTAAGGCAATGCATACTCTATCAAGGCATATTCTGAAATCTTTCATTGTCTTCACGGCTTGGGGGGGCACTTGGAAAGGTAGCCAACCGTCAATTTCTACAATATTGCCATTGGACTCTAGCCTTCCACCAAAAAGGATAGCCATAAGGGGCCTAGCCTCCGTAACAGTCCGCAAAAGCAGGGTTCCGCCGTCATTACTTTTTGCTTTGGTTGTGAAGGTTACAAGGGTCCCGAAAGGCATGCCGGAGTCGCTCCTATTAGTATAGTGGACAGATGTTGGATGGATCATAGAAAAGTTCTCGTTTGGTGTTCGTAACCCTCTACCCCCAGAAGCAACGGCAATGTTGGGGTACATACCCGCAAGTGTGAGAGCTTTGATGAGCGGAACATGATCCGAGTACTCATTTGAAGAGGGATGCCCAATTTCGGAACGGTTCCTCTCGTGCCTGCTCACATATGGAATTATGCTAGCCTTAACTAGGAGCTCTTCGATCTGGAGGGTGGTTGCATCCAAAGTCCTCAGTGCGCCTCGGTGAAGGAAGTTTTCCTCAGCGAAGCGATGGGCTGCGTGCATTCCGTCACGGTCACGAATAGACCTCCATTCCCGAAAGGCATTCACCAATGCCATGTGATCACTACCGGTGTCTCTGACGAAAGAATTCCTTATACGGTTGGCCTCCGCTCTGCGCTCAGGGGGGGCGACAAATATATCGCGAACACCGGATGAAGATCCCAAGATCATTATTGGATCTAAGCAACGGAAGATGACAGCAAGGAGGATCATCTTGCCAAGAGCAGGTTCAACGGGCCTATCAAAGTCAGTAAAAAATATTTCCACAAGTCAATCAGCATAACTTACATAGTTGCAAGGACACGTCCGAGAGGAGTTAACCCCTCATCTTCTGAGAGGGCGCCCAACAAACGAAGTTGAGCTAGCGAGGCTTCAATAGCATTACGTGAAGGGGGCTCAATAGCCTCTGACAAAAACTGGGCGACCGAATCCTTAAAACCCTGAGCCTTGATATCCAAACAAATTTCTTGAAGGTCCGATCTAAGCATCTCCGGAAGCCCAGCACCACGTAAAGACTCAAACCGTGGTTTGCTGAATAAGGCGTAATAGTTTCCGTTTTGGACGCGACCAGCTCTGCCAGCACGCTGCTTCGAGTTTGACTTACTGATCCAGGTACACACAAGCTGGGTAATTCTCCGCGCTTGCTCATATTGTTTCTCTCGCAACTTCCCACTGTCCACGACGTACCTGACGTCAGGGATAGTAACGGAAGTTTCTGCAATATTGGTTGAAAGAATGACCTTCCGGACGCCTTCCCGTACATCCTCAAATACTTCATTCTGATTCGGAATAGTAGAGTGGAGCATACTGAGCTTAAATTTTGATTCGTCTCTGAAATCGATGCCTAAAGGCTTTTGCGTTCGAAGAACCTCATCCACTGCTTGTATCTCCTCAAGCCCGGGTAAGAAGACCAAGATAGCTCCATAATCGCTGGCTTGGGCGATATGCGCTACGGTAAGTGCGATAAGCCCAACAGGAACGAGGGCATCCTCCTTCTCGCTGGAGACTACGACTTGACCATCGGAACCAAGTTTGATTTCCTGTTTCCAATTAATTGTGGCGTCGGCAGCATCATCATCTTCCATCTCGCCCCGGGCGGACGTGGCCCTTGACGGAACCCTGGATGGAACTCGGGAGAGGTCTCTAGATATTGATTGCTCCACGTCAAGATACAGACGGGTGTCTTCGTCGCGAAGTAGGGAAAGTTGATGGGGTGAATATGTGTTGCGCAAAGTATCCTGGATTTCCTCCAGATAAAGCTCCTTGACTGGGAATGTGCGCCCGGGCACGCTTAGATTAGGGCATGGAACGAGTTTGCCATCGGCGTTCTTGTACCGGAAGTAACTCGCGAATAGCTCCGTGTCCATAGTGGCACTCATTAGCACAACCTTCACCTCCGGCAGCCCTCTCTCCACCCTGTCATGCATGACTCGTTTGAGAATAATTAATAGAAAATCGATAAGTATATCGCGTTCGTGTACCTCGTCGATAACAAGATGTGTGATTCCGTCCAACGCTTCATCTGCCGAGTTGCGAAGTTGTTGTAGCAAGATACCAGTAGTACAGTAAGTGACGCTACCACCTGCAATGGGTAATTTTGCATCAAATCGAACCTGGTAACCAATAGATTTCTGGAGCGGCTCGTTTCGTTCTACAGCCACTCGTGCAGCTACGGAGGTAGCGGCGATACGTCTAGGCTGAGTGCAGATAATGTTGCAGTCCGCACCCGTCCCATTTTTGGTCGCCTCCTCCAACAAAATTTGAGGTACCTGGGCTATAATAGGGTAAGTAAAGAGCTTCGAATCCAGATCGTATTGGGGACGGGAACTGACTAGTTTTTCCACTGCCAGTTGCACCAACAATAATACTCACAGCATTGTTGTTGACAATATCCAAAACCTTCGCCCGGTACTGATTCATTGGCAGCTCCTCACGCTTACTCCTCAAAGTCTCCAATTTGGGATTTTTGAGGTACTCTTCATACGATTCCAGCAGCTTCTTGCTCTTTACCCCGACAAAAGCCGGGTCGAGTGCCCTGCGAGGCCCGGAACGCCAAGAGTTCCGCTCCTGCTCCTGCTCCATTCGATCTTCTTCGTCTTGACTTAGGGGCAAGCCGATACGCCTCACGGCGTGCAACGTGTCCGTCATGGTACTTACACAGTCCCTGTCAACGCTAACCCAGGAAGGGAGCAGCGGTTTTAGGAGTTCTCCGTTTCCGAGTCTTAGGGCCTCTATAAATTTCGGAAATAATTCGGGGCGCATCTGCTTCAACCCAATTGCTCCCGTAAGGTATGCCGCAGCCTCAGCGTACTTCTTACCGACAAACTCCACGGGTTCTCCAAGAGGCCCCTCGTTAAGCATCATCTGAGCTCTATATGCTCCCCCTGAGCCCCTCCTTCCGGAGGTTCGCTTTAGTTCAACATCATAGCGCGATTGCCTGTCGAACATCTTGAAGAATTCGAAAAATTTCCGTGCATTTCGGCTGTTGATACTCGATATATCCTTCAGTATGATTGTAGAGCCTCCTTTTTTGGAGTGAAATTCTTCAGCCTGTCGCTTGAACTCCACACATGCAATAATCTCGGCATGTTTGAGCTCGGAAGCACGGGCTGTGGCTAGAATATTCTGCTGTGTAAATCCCACAGTGACCTCAAACAGCCCCTTTCGAGTGCCTGATCTTCTAGTCTCCCGAACATCTACCGTTGGTACAGCATCAAATCTTGCGCAATAATCGTAGATGTCCATTTTAGCATCGGCTTCATCGCTTAGCAACTCTTTGTCATGAGCCCCTGCACTCTCTGCATTATTAATAATTTCGCGAAGTACGCCATTCCGATGTAGTTTCAGAATCAGGTGTCGACACGCCGACCTCTCAGCTACTTTCTTTAATTCAGGTCAGCAATCGGAACCCTGCTTGATTGTGGGAGAGCAGTATATCATACCTTATTCTTTGCATCGCCACAGGCTTCCATCTTTGTCCGATCCGGGAGGGTGGTGATAACAGTGCACCGGTATATGCCACCCTTGTGCGAGGCAAAAGAAGACTTGGCCATAATCCCATTGAAGTCCCATAGAAACCCTTTCGGATTTGTGAAAAGAGTTTCGGGGGCACTTTTGTAATCATCGGGCTGTGGTTGCTCAAAGTTTCTGGTCAGCCAACTGTCGTCCACGATTTCGGTCTTAATGCTCTGCGGTCCACGTGCGGGTGGCGCTTGTCGTCCACGTTTTGACGGAGGTGATCGACCATTTCTGGAGGCCTCCCGGTATCCATCGCCACTCCGACCTTTGTTCGCCCCTTTGCCGAAAGGGTTTTTAATCTCTGCGTTCCTTCCCCTCTGTGATCCGTGTGATACGGATTGCTGTCCCCCTCCACTTTTAGATCTCCAATCCCGCGATAAATCTCTAACTGGATTGACTGGTCCGAGCCCATCGTACTGTGTCCAAGCCTCCTCTTGTGCAGCGTGGGCGGACGCCCAGCGGTCCTGGCTATTAGGTGCTGAGGTCCTGTTCAAAGAGGGGCGCCATGTGCTTGATAATGGGTGCGCGGCAAAATTTTTGCCCGGGGATTGATGCTGCATTATCAGTCGCAAATGTGAAAGCTATAAGTTTGGCGGTGGTATTAGTGGTTTAAAAGCCTTCCGAAACGTGAAAAAGTAAAACTCTGTGTAATAAGGGAAAGTATAAAGATGAGGGTATATGCCAGGAGGCAAGATAAGGGAGAGTTTGCGTGTTAGGCGTAGAATACAAGACACCGAACAGAAAGTGGGAGGGAAAAGAAAAAAAAGAAAGGGAAAGAACCGGGGGTGGTAAGAGAGGATGGTAGGGGCGGGCGTAGACCTACCGGAAAACGCCTCATGTCGCGATAGAACTGGAGCCCCAATTGAACTTCTGTATTTTCAGCCGCCTGTCTCTGACAAAATACTTATCGGAGTAACTGTGGGTAAGAGGAATTGTGTACAACGGGGGGGGTTCTCAGCACAGCTGGAAGGTGTAAAGCAGAGAGAGTGGGAGAGTGTTGTAAAGGTTTGCCGGAACATTTTCGATCGTCTCCAATTTTTTTTTTTTTTCCTCCGTTTTCCTTCTGCCCTCAGTAGCGCTGCCCTAGCCCTTTGTCGGGCCTTGGCGACGGCGATAGCCGCATGTGTGTTAAAGCCCTCTTATCGGGTCAATGACAGGAAAAATTCAGGGTTATTCCATCGCCACTACGAGAACGACACGAGTATCATACTTGTAACTTATCATACCCAAATTAATCACTCCTAACTCCTAACCCGCTTAACAATGTTCCACTGCATTGGAATATCACAAGTTACAATATTTGACTGGGTTTTAACACGTGAGGCATGTTTTGACTGCCCTCGAGGCCCACGGACCCAGAGGTTAGAGCCGGGTATCTCTGAAGAAAATAGCCATTCATGGGCAGTCTATCGTACTGTACAGGTAGGACCTCTAAAAATTCCAGAAGGCAGTGGATGGAGGCTAGGATCTAGACCCCAACACTGAAAGCGAATATACTATCCATTGAAACCCATTGCCTCCCGCACTTATCAAGGTATTTCTGGACAACGTTCGAGATCACCTCAAACGACCCTTCATTCTCCCGAGCTAATGCTATGATAGTCTCTGTAGGACCCCACAGAAGTGTGTTAGTAACCACATACTGTAATGCAGATGAAACAGGGAGAGAAAGAGGGGGATAAAACTAACGTTGCTTTTCTGATCCATCGTTTAGGTTTGCTATTGCCTTCCCAACGTTGAAAAGGCTGGAGAAATATAAGAGTTGGTTGTACAACATCTTATCTGTGTACTCATATCCCATGGCGCCCCTACAATCGTCTGCAAGTCTGTTCGGTCCAAGACAACGCTTCCCATAGACATTCATTTGCCGCGTTCTATTTCCACAAGAGGCGTCATCGCAAACCAGCCAGGCCTCGTAATATTTTGATGTTAGTTGGCGGATTTGGCACTCAACCTGCGCCACGATCGACGGGACGCTAAATACTTTATTGCAGGACCTGTTTTTGCAAACGATCCCTTCGCGGGAACAGCACTCATAGGACAAAATTGGCCCTTCAAATTGGAATGATTCTCCACAAGCCCGGCACTGAAGCTGAAGCCTAACAGCATCCTTGAACCTTTCCTCATCTGGAATAGTGGATTCAAGGGGATGGATGGCGCGATCTGCTTGATCTGGGGCATTGGTAATCTGGTACTTGCGTGTATCAAGCCCAAGGCACTCTGCCAACCTCATCGCATCCGTTCCTTCGATGGGTCCACAAAGACGTTCGATAGGTGGGAATATCTGCTTGATAAGATACCATTCCGCATCTACCAGAGGTTAATCGATACACAAGATGTTTCTTTAGGGATTGAAACGAACCAGGCTTCAAGCCGGAATCAGCTTTCATGATGTCTTGAGGTGCATAAGCTCGGTCGGAAACGTTCTTGTCCGGGGCTTCGCTCCCTTCACCACCCGTAATGACATATGAAACAACATCCCCACTTTTTACGGGTTCCCCGCGGGCCCTCTTCCGCAAGGCTACCTGAACCTGGGGCATGGTTTGTAGACTAGTACCGTACTCGTCGAGGCTTTTTCCGAGTTTCTAAGAGGCCGTTAATTCAGTCTTTTGAGGCGAGGACGAAAACTTACAGTATATATAATATATTTCATCAAGGGAAACGCGTTCTCTCGAACCTTCTCAGCCAGGCCACCGAGGTATTCGTGGATTCTCTCCACAACGACCTCGGTGTCGTCTCCCGAGAAAATCTCGGACAATATGTGTCTGACAAAATAATTAGCACCTAGAAGGAGGACACCCTCAACGATGAGCCAACTCACGATGAGGCATCTTTCGATAGCTGACAATACTCCCTTCGCCTCATATCCAAACCTTTCACCTCCAACTTCGTAGTTAATTTTCCGTTAATCTCGACATAATTTATTGCTGCGTATTTCTTCTTGGCATGTAGTAGTAATCGTTGGAACACGTTGTCGATGTCAATCTCGAGGAGCTTGTATTGTTCATTGACTTTTCTCTTGAAATCAGTCCCAATTTTGATCGCATCGGCATAGTTGTCCACGCCAGTATTAATCATGACCGAGTCGGTGTCTCCATAGATAACTCGCAGCTTGATGGCCTCTGCAAGCTCTTTGGTGCTGCTCAAGATCTCACGCCCTTTATGAGTTGTAAGCATTGCCAGGGGACGAGCGTAGAACCTCGAACGAGTATATCCAAGACATCCGTACATAGAGTTTGCGGTAAGCTTCAGGGCTTGTTGTTTGATGTCCCACTTGAAGATCAGTTAGCCCAAGTTCCCGGAACGCCCGAATAAAGGGTCACCTGTGATTTTTGGACATCAGTAGCCGTCCTATCCTTCATGAGATCCTTGACGATCCTTCTGCGTTGGACAAGCGTTGAGATAAGTCTGGGCAATATCCCTAACGCCTGGGCTTCGGGCACATCAGGAACTCTCTCTTCGCCCTTTAGAATGCCCCAAGTCAGTAAGCGCACTGCGCCGGATATTGGGAAAGGCGCCGCTAAAGGGTCAGGCCTGGAAACGTTCCGAGGTGGCTCACCGAATCATCTCGCTTGACTGTCGTAAAGCAGATGTTAAACTCCTGGATGATGCTGGGGTAGAGGGAGTTGAAGTCCATAACAAGAATGAATCTGTCGTAGAGACCTTTCTCCGGCTCGAAGACCAGCCCACCCTTGTACTTCTCTTTCTTCTTGACCCCACCACCCTCATTTTCCCCCTCATCCCCAGCCCCGTCCGTTTTCCGAGTAAGATTACCCTTCCCGTACACCTTGTCAGGACAAATATATTTATTGCGGTGAAATTCATGAAGCAGAATGTATTCGTTGCGTTCAGCTCTCGTACCGCTCATGGTTCTGGCCCATGAATTGCCAGCAAGATTGGTGAGCTGCTTGGCAAGAGGCACTATCTGGATCTTGAGCGCAATGGCCGCGATGAAGTATGTATCGGCTTCGCAATGCTTTACATAATCAAGCAAACCTCTGTCAGTGGTTGCCCACGTCCTCAAAGCTTCAGCGTTATCTAGGTCTTGCCGTTTATCCCCTAGTATCAATTCACACATTTCCGTGAGACTCCAGGATTGGCATTGCGTCGTAAGGGACTATATATATCACTTATGTCAGCTAAATCAGGCGTGAGCCATGAGTAAAAGGTATGAACCTTTCCAAGATCGTTGGCGAGATCACAAATAAGCCTCCCAGAAACCAATTGTCTCTCAGCAAAGAAGCTTCCCGCCATTCGGCCGCCGTACTGAGGCCATGCACTTCGCTTCATCCTTCCGAGCTGGTGCCAATAAGTAGTCATGCGCTCCTTCATTCTATGTAGCAAGATCCCATAGTCAACGCCCTCCAACTGATGTCCGATCAGAACATCGGGGTCGATCTGATGAAGCTTGGCAAGGAATGTGCTCAAAAGCATGCTCTCTGTTCTCTGGGGGCTGATAGTTCCTTTATGGTTCTGAACAAGCTTTTCAAAGCCAGCCGGGAACACCGGGTTAATCGGTCTAACGACGGAGAACATCTGACATGGGAGCTTTTCCGGCGCATTTGCATCACTCAGGGAGATGTTCTCGTATACTCTGCAACTAATAGCAAGAATTTCTTGCTTGTTATCCTTGACATTCATGTGCGTGCGTAGTGCAATACTCATCAACGTCAAGGGAGGGGGCTCCAATGAATCCGCATCACCGATAGTAGTAACCCGTTGTGGCTTGTCGACTTGAATCTCCAATTTACACCACGATGACTATAACATCCCAGTATTAGCTACCGAATCCCAAGCGATGAGGGAAGAGCCTTTACGTTCTGCACTGCAGTAAAATCGGCCCCCTCGATTTTCAACCAACAGGGGCCCATAATGTTTCTGCATAGCACGAATTGCTCAAAGAGAGCCGTGTTTGTTCCAAAAACGCAAGAGAATGTCTGCCCTGTGAGCTCAGGGGATAGCTGCGGCTCTATGTTCCCATCAGATATTGTTCCCGGATACTTTGGTAGTTGATACATACTGGTATATGAATATAGAACCTTCAAGTAATCGCCTTCTTTGGGAATACCTGGAAGTTCAAATGCATACTTTCTCTGGGATGACTTAGCCCTAAACAAACTGATTTCATTTTGTTCCATGATTCGTGCAACCTCTTCATGGACATCCGTCATCGCTATTACCTCACCAGTGTTCAATTTATTCTCTGTGGCGCCGTCAGTTACCATCCAGTCAACCAAACCGCACAGGTCACTCACTATGCCTTGTCTCCCTTGGCAAGAAATATAGATTTCTGTCTATTCCATCAATTTTTAAGAATGCACTGACATATTTCCCCGACCCTTTGTCTCGAACTTTGCCAAAGAGACAGAGGCTCCCACGAACTTCAGTATAGTCTAGCCAGAACATTTTGATGGACCCATCTTCCTCAACAACGTCCCCAGGCCCCAGCTTTCCAAGGTCAGAGCCATCCAAAGCGGGAGAACTTGTAACATTATCTCCCCCGGCAAACAATGCCCAGGCTGTAGGGTCAATCGCTGTAACCGGCTTATCAGGCGCAACTGCCGCTTGTTTCACAATTTCACTCTTGGGCGCCGGCCTTGAGGCGACGATGTTGATAGTTTCTGCCTTGATAGACCTGCTGCCTTGAATCTGCGCAACAGCAAGATCATCTTCGTCATCGCCGTCTTCATCTCTCCAATGCTTCCTCTTGACGGCATCTGCGATTGGAGAAGACGGTGTTACCGGGGCGTCACCCATATCTATATCCTCATCAAAGGAACCATAGTCTTGGTCATCATTATCGGTATTTCCCGCTATGGGGGGTGGAGAGCTCGCGAAACCCGGCCCTCCGGCGTGACGGGTTTGGTCCATCTTTATGGGGTTTGAGTCCTTCGGGGGAGGCGAAAGCCGGCGTGCTTTTTTCACAGGCTCTCCTCTAGGCTTTTTGCTCAGCAATATTGGCTCCGCCGGAGAGTCGTTATCGAATTCTCCCAGAAGGTCGTTCATAAAGTCGAGATTCTCTTCTTTCACCTTGAGCTATTATCCAGCATATTAGAACCAGTTCGGGGCGCAACCACGGGGGTGAGGAGTGAATCGACAGACCTTAGGTTTGGCGGTGGGTGCGGCATTTGAACTGAAGAATTTCCGGATATTTCCTTCTTGCTCTCCTTTCCGTTTCTGTTCCTCCGCCTTTCTCACTTTTGCCGACTTTCCCCCCTTCTTTAACTTCTCATCTTCGCTCTCCTCCCAGCTTTCTTCCCGACGATGGTCATCATCCCAATCATCCATCCCATTGTCCGCGTAGCCCTCCCCTTTATCATCCACCACAAAATCATCTTGGTCAAGTCGCTGGCGCACAACCTTCTTGTATTCCTCTTCGTCCACCTCCTCATAAAGGTCCTCTTCTTCCTCGACCTTATACTTAGACAAGCGCGTCATCCCAGAAGCTTTAAGTTCACGAAGTTCTTTGAGCTTCTCGTGAGGGGCTCTCTTTGTACCAGCGCGACGTGGTCTTTCCATAACTGCCGTCGTGAGGGAATGTTACGGAGGGGGATTCTTGGTAATTTCGGATCGATGCTGGAATATTGTGCGTACGCTGCTTTGCAATATTTGGTCGATATGAGGATCTCTGAGGATCCTATAGCTGATGAACCCGGGCGGTGCGGTGGGGTGAAGATTTTCAACCGCAACACCGCAAAGCTCGCGTTGAATTTAGAGCACTTCAACGCGTTTAGGGGTCGCGAGAACACGACTTCGGAAATATTGCCAAGACTTGTAATTATTGTATGATATCATATCATATTATCAGAGCACCAGTTTAGATTAGATCTAACAGAGTTCAAGATTGATAAGAATTAAAAATCTGGCTGATAAAATTCAGATTGCTTGTAACTTATTTCTTTGTTTTAACCATTTTGTTATTATGGTTACCTGTAAGCTACAGCAGCGAGTACGATGAACTTATGTAAATTTAGTAAAGGACCTGTGACGTTCACAGAGGCAATTACTTGTAGTATGAAATCGTAATACCATGAAACCGGTACGAAGCCGCAGATCCCATACCAGTATGGCCCCTATTATCATCCAGCCACGGGCACAAGCTACGGCAAAGCTTCTGTCTCCATCAAGCAAGCCCTACTGGTACAGTATCGCTCATACACCCAATTGCCAACTAAAGGGTCTTGACTCAAAATGGCAGCTACAATTGTTCTGATCATTTCACTCCATCAAGAAAAACAAACAAATGATATATTTAACAACAAAAAAATAAATGTGGGGGGGGAAGAAAGATGGTGAAAAAAAAAAAAAAAAAAAAGAACACCCAAACACTCCTCGATCTGAACATACGGCATCAGGAAGGAGTAAACAGATAGAAGCAAAAAAAAAAACCCCCCTCCCGACCATCCAAACCCACATTATAGATAGTTTACGAGGGCGCCTCGTCCTCAGCAACGTTTTTCCTCATTTTCCAAGTCCCCTCGGCTGCCTGAAACAAATTTACTAAAAAAAATTAGGTATATAACACTTGTGTGGATGGAAAGGAAATTCATTGGTACCCAATGCTCATGCAATACAAAAAAACAAATAATGGAAATGGAAATAGGCCCAAGAGGAGAGAACTGACAACAAACCCTTTGGTATCGCTCGACACAACGGTGGACAGAATGGTATTAGTGAAAACAATGCTTCGGTTGGCCAAAATCATCGCTCGAGAGCTCTGGCGGGAGAATATCGAGCACTTCTGTAGACTATAGCACACCCGCAATGAACCACACAAAGGTAAAAGCGGTCACCAAACCCATACCAAGCAATGCACGAACGGTACGGGGGTCATTAAGCCCAGCACTACTGAAATCACAAGCTGAGCACCGGAAATCTATACGATCCAATATTAGTCCCGCCCTAGAAAATTCCAAAGGGTAATGCGAGTGTAACCTTGGAGAGGGACAGGAGCCTTAGGCAAGTACATCCCAAATTGGAGCGAGTTATAACTATAAAGGTAACCTGGTGATGGAACCGCTGTCCTATCCTTTGAAGCATCATACACCCAGAGAGTATATGTAGCACTATCATTAAACGTCAGCAATTCCCGAGGGGAATAGCGAGTGCAAACAACTTACACTGGCAACTTGGCCGTAGCGGTTTGCTGGTAATCCCCAGTATCCCAGACGACCTCAGTGGTATCTGCAGAAACATTTGCGGCAATATTGAAATAGGTGGCACCGTCGGTACAAAATGCTTCGACATTGATGGCGGTAGGCGACGCTTGGATACTGGTGTAATTCCACTTGAATGTAACGGGTTGACCAATTTTGTAGATTTGGTAGCCATCGGTCAACGCCGGGGTCTGCATCACGACTCCGCCAGGTTGGGCATCAGATGATATCTTCTTGCTCTTCGTCGAGGATGGCTTTGCGCTCCCACTCTCCCCAGTCTTTTGATCCTTTGGTTCCTCTGTCGGCGTTGCGTCACCTTCTATTGGGTCACCTTCGCCAGCGGTTGGTGCACCATTTGATCCACCGGTAGTCTTGGTTGGGTCTGTTGAGGATAGAATGTCAATACCTATTAATGCGGGAAGAAAATGTTCACCATGAAGGATACCAACCATCCGCCCGACGTACAACGGCACCCGCCTGTGGGACGGCTACTCTTGGATCGGCACTTGCTGAGAAGGCAGCAATCGAAAGAATAAGAGAGAATAAAAGCTGTACGTTCCTCATATTCAAATATGTTCTCGTAGCGGGTTCTGTGTTCTTTTTTTCTCCGGGGGGGTTTTTGGTCGTACCCGAGTCGAGAGTCGAAGGAAATCGTGAGTGAACGAGTGACGAGGATGCTGTGGCAAGGGAGATGGGCCTCAACGGTGATAAACTTACCCCCTGCGTTTCAAGAATGGAGAAGCGATGAAGATGACAAACAGTGGGGGGGATGAAGAACACCAGAACGCCTTCAGATGTAAAGAGCGGAAAATAAATAAACGAGGGTTGAGAACGAAGGGCGGGAAAACACACAAAGGCCGTTCGGCTCAATGGGAGGAGCGTTCTGATGGGTTGTTTTGAATTATTGCGGGAGCAACGCAACTGGAGGAGGTGGGAAAGGGAAGTCGGTTCGAGCCAATTTTTCTGCCAGGGGTTGGTTGCTGTCTGTATACTATTTCTAAATTTGGAATATTTTAGACTCAACCCCTCCGCCAATTCCCCACTCGACCCTTCAGCTGACAACACTTGACTTGCATTTTCCGAGTGAATGCCGCAACTCCTCGCCGTGGGGTTTCCAGCATTGGAGAGTCTTGGGGAATGTTTCCCAAGTTTATGTGCAACCATCCACAGTACCGTACGGTACGGTACGATATATGCGCTTGAGTATCATATCATACTTGTACGAGAGTACGAGAGTATGATGGTTCTCAAGTATAGGTATCACTTATTCCCCGAGTTCCCCCCCCCCCTTTTTTTCCATCCGTGCTCGAGCACCGTATGATATATCGGAGGTCGCGTGAAAAAAAAAAACCTTGGAGAGGCTTGGAGTAATGAGATTCCTTCCGCACAAGTGCTGGCGCAGTCCCTGCAAAGAAAGGGAGACCAGAGGTAGCTGTTTGTGCTGACGGTCTGACGTACAGTACAAGTACTTGCTCAATATACGTGTAAAGCAATAAATCTCTTGGAATTCACTACCGTATCGGGTCTTAAGGGGAATCAGTGTGCCTGTGTCGGCCCAGGATAGGTTTGGTTTAACAGGTTAATAGTTAGTGAGATCCGGCACGTCCGGTGGGTTGGTCTTATGCCGTATCAGGAATGCACTAATCCTCCCAGGAGCTTTTGTCTGTCGGGCCGGATATTACAGGGGTGGCGGAGATAAGGCAGTGCATCTGAACTTTTCCTGATGACAACCAATTCCTATATGCGAGCAGTTCTACGCGTAAAATGTCAATACTAGAGGCGAGGTATGATACCATAGTGATTGTGCCATACTGGGAAATCTACAAATCATTCGCAGTCTCCGCAATTCCACATCAGTGTGCAAAGTTGCGCTCGCAACCGCCTTGGCATCATACCCCAAACTTTGATTTGGCTTATAGAAAGAACCACCTCTATTCCTTTATCCCAAGCAGCCCGGTAAATGTGTACAGTACTCGTACTTCTAACCGCCATACACAGCACTTACTTTACAGTACACACCCGAGCCAACTAAGCCCCATCTTTTCCCGGATGGTGGCATCGCTCGAGTGCGGTCGATTCCAGGATGGCCACCTTGGAGCTCAGCGATACGTGGGAGAGGGATTTCAGGTAAGCGGGCCGGCGGGCTCGGTACACACAAATACGTTGAGGTTTCTGAGCCTCTAGTTTCCCTACTCTTTGCTCCCGCACTCCTCTCATTCAGCGCTCTGATATTTCCTTGCGTGATATAGTAAGAATGTAAATGTGTTGTCTCTCTCCATAAATCTTTCTCATCGTGAACGCCCTTTCGTTCAAACAGCTTCTCAGAGCAGATCAACTGCCAGTGCAACCAGGGAAGAGTGTATGGTAGTACCTTTTCTATTCCACCTCATGCTCAAATTGCAGAAGATATATAGCTAGTCATTTCTCTCAGGTTGGTGGATTCAACAGAACCTTGTTTGATATCTCTACATCTCCTGCTTGTAGCAAGAGTAATATCTAATTATAACGTCACCTCGCAAAGAGTTTATACAACTCTTACCATATCAATAGGAAAGGATTGGGCAACCCAAGTAATTAACTATGATACCTACAAGATATTCGATCTACTTAGGCCCCGAGTAACCATATCTCTGCTCCCTCCAGTTACTCGTTCTGAGTAAATAGATATGAAATGATTTCAAGTTCGATATTGGCATATAATAGAATATCTTTGCAAGAGCAAAGCACCCTACAATAGACTCAAAACGTGTTTATCCAGATGTGGAGAAACCGAGGATAGAAGCAATTATGAGTTAGAAATGGAGGCTCGGTTGCACTTTTAAAAAGTATTTTGAGGAACCTGTTCCCCTATATCCAAGAGGCTTTTGAGGGGGCGTTTTGAAATGCACAATATGCATCTTATGGATGCTTCGACACGACAGGCCTTTTTATGCTTACAGCACCTCACTTTACGTGCAAAAGGAAACATAACAGTGCCGATATCTTGATTGAAGTATCTTCCAGCGATAGTCTCCAGTCTGTGGATGGCTGGCGCAGTGTCCTTTCCTCGATTGCACAGCAGGATGAACACTGCCCTGCTCTCTCAAATACCTTATTTCAGACAATTTCCCGGTCCACAATTCCTTCTCATTGGTATTGTTCAGTTGGATTCAACAGGATTTTTGTCGAGGTTAACATGGCAGAGGCAAGGTGTCGAGACCTAACCCATATCTCTGATTTACTTGTGCAATATGATATGATACTTCCTTCTTCAAGGTTGTCCACACCTTCTTTATGCTCGTTATTTTTTATCCTTATTCTTATCCTTATTTCCGTTTTCCTCTAGTAGGGTTTCTGGCCCGTCTCCCTTGCTTCTGACTGGGGAATTACGGTACATACCGGCAGTCCCCACTTTCCTCCTGCTCTGAGGAGGTACCGTAGCGATTGCGACCGCCACACCTTGCGACACAGGGACTCTCCCTCCCCCCCGCTGCTGACAACGACAACGACGACCGCACACTCAGCTTCGGGAAGGCCCCCACCCCATCCTGAGATCTTGAGAGTTACTCTACGGTCAGAGGAGAAAAAACTTTCCCTCGCTCTTCCGTCCCTTTTCCTGTGTGCCTCCATTCACCTTCATAGCCGGGCAAGCTGGAGGCTTGAACATTTTCTCTCTCCTCTCGCGGCTTGGCTGGGTGCGATCTTTGCAGTGGCTGCTGACGAGGTTCGGTGTGTTGCTGGTTCCAATAACGCCTTTCAACGTTTTCGTGCTCCACACAATAGTATTGGGTAGCTAATCGTTCGACTCAGGTTCGACGCTTGATCCTTTGTGAGGACTCACCAATACGATAGCAATGGACCCCTGGCCCTCCTACTCGACCGATTCTACGGCGAACCGACAGCCAAGATACGCGAACAACGTTCTCCAGCAAAATCCTTCCCCGCAGCACCCCCGAGATCACAACCCCCCTCAACACCCTCCCCCGTCGAGCATGGCTGCGGCGCCCGGGCCGGGCACAACACAACAGCCTTACCAGGCTTATCATGCCACGGGAACAGGACCCTCATCAACGCAGCCGGCCCCTGCCACACGCCTAGATAGTGCCTCGGATTATGTGGATGTGCAAATGCCTGACGTCGATCCCTATAGTCGGGCCAAGTATCAACAACAGCCTCAAAGTTCTCGACAGCCCTATGCGTCTCCCGAGGAGTCCGCACCTCAAAGGTATACTGCGATTGGTTCAAACCCTAATCCTCAAGCTGGTTATAGCTCTTCTGCATCGACCCATTCATTACCTCAGGTTAACTATCCACCCCAAATGGCTGCGTCTACATCTTCCTCATCGTATCAGCAAAGACAATCTCCGTCAAGATTGAATTATACCAGTAGTTCCCAGTCTTACTACGCCCAGCAACAGCAGCCTCCCGCAGCCTCCCCTCGTACGAGTGCACCCCCGAGCATGCAGTCATATCAGCATCATTTGCAACAGTCGGGCTCAGGCTCCTCAGGTTTGCGCATTAATCTCCCAAGTTGTGTTCCATTTTCACTAAGCCTCTGCTGCTAGGCTCCGATGCAAATAACGGGCGTTATTTCCCCTCATCTGGCTCTTCGGTACCGCAAGGATCTATGTACGACCAAATGCACACCGGACATCACCAATCCGCCCCCCGGGAACCCCCACCAAGATTTTCCAGGGTCACTGCGCTGAATGACTTGAAACCGCATACAAATTCGCAGCCCGCCTTCAGAAGAGCTCACCCTGAGGGTGGATTCATTAGCGTATGTGGGCTTATATATCACAGCGCCATTAGTGGTCCGACTAACGTGGGAATGTAGCCTTTGCAAGCGCTGACAACCCATCTCCCCGCTACGTACCGTATATGCAATCCTACTTTCAAATACGAATCCTCTAGGAATCCTCGGCGAGTCCTAACCAAACCAAGCAAGGGTGTGAAGAATGATGGATACGATAATGAGGATAGTGATTATATACTCTACGTAAACGACATTCTTGGGTCGGAGGAAACGAAGTACGCCCAACCTAGTGCTCGTTTCCAACTATGTAGAGGATCGGCTAATGCATTTGTTATAGGAACCGTTATCTTATTCTGGATGTCCTTGGACAGGGAACATTTGGTCAAGTTGTGAAATGTCAGAATCTTAAGACACAGGAGGTTGTCGCGGTAAAAGTTGTGAAGAACCGGACGGCGTACTTTAATCAGAGTATGATGGAGGTCTCTGTCCTTGATTTGGTAAGGGAGAAATTACATAAGTTACTCTCTTTGGGCAATCACACTGACCGGATGGCAACACTAGCTCAATAGCAAACTAGACAAAAACGACGACCATCACATCCTCCGCCTCAAGGATACCTTCATCCATCGCCAGCATCTTTGCCTTGTTTTCGAACTGCTCAGCGTCAACTTATATGAATTAATCAAACAGAACCAGTTTAGAGGCTTGAGCACAACCCTTGTTAGGGTTTTCGCCCAGCAGCTGTTGAATGCTTTATGTCTCCTTAATAAAGCGAGGCTCATTCATTGCGACCTCAAACCGGAGAATATATTGTTGAAAAAGTAGGTCTCGCTTATCATTACCTACTGTTACTCGGGAAAGTCAGGTTCTGATTCTCCGTGTCACTCACTAGCCTGGAGAGTCCGATAATAAAGGTCATAGATTTTGGCTCCGCATGTGACGAGAGGCAAACAGTTTATACATACATCCAATCCCGTTTCTATCGATCGCCTGAAGTTTTGTTGGGACTACCGTGAGTGGATTCTTCACTCCAAAGTATATGGGTTAACGTTCTGCAGGTACTCCTCGTCAATTGATATGTGGTCACTTGGATGCATTGTTGTGGAGTTGTTCTTGGGTCTCCCACTCTTCCCAGGTAGCTCTGAGTACAACCAGGTGGCGAGAATCAATGAGATGCTTGGGATGCCCCCAGTCTGGATGCTTGAGATGGGAAAACAGGCTGGCGAATTCTTTGAAAAGGTGCACGATGAATTCGGGAGGAAGACTTACCAGCTTAAGAGCATGGAGAAGTACTCTCGAGAGCACGGGACGAAGGAGCAGCCAAGCAAGAAATACTTCCAGGCAACCACACTGCCCGAAATAATCCGTCAGTATGCAATGCCTCGAAAAAATATGAAGCCAATTGAGATCGAGAGAGGTATGTTTCCCTCAGCATTTTCATGATTTGGACACTGACGCGGGTTGATATAGAGATGAACAATCGAATCGCCTTTATTGACTTCGTTCGGGGTTTGCTGAATATCAATCCAGTAGAACGATGGTCCCCACAACAGGCGAAGCTGCACCCCTTCATCACCCAACAGAAGTACACCGGACCTTTCATACCTCCTATGAACCTTAAATCACCGCCACCAAAGTCCCCGATGTCTGGCGCTGAGCAGCAGCAGAGGGCGGAGCAAGCAATGATGCAAAAGCAACAGGCAGCAATGCAGGCCCAAGCGCAGGCACAAATTCAAGCCCAGCAACGTGCTCAACAGGCCCAGCAAGCCGCCCATGTCGCTCAGCCCAATTACTCCGCTGTTTCTCTTGGGAATTTCCCTACCTCATCGGGACATCCGCAACCTCCCACCGTCTATAATAATGCTTACAGCTCGACACAACAGCCTAGCCAGCCTCAACAGCAGGCGCCACCGGCCTATACAACGAGCAGTACCCAGTATGGGAATCAACTTGGTGTCATACAGCAGCAACAGCAGCAACAGCAGCAACAGCAACAGCAGCACCAAGGAGGGCAAATGTCTTCAACCTATGGCCAGGTTTCTCATCAAGCGCTCTACACTCAGAACCCCAATCGGGCAGCTCGCCAACGCTCAGCCACGATGGTTGACGGAGTCCCTCCCCAAATCCAAAGAGCCGCCTCGATGATGGATCCCACACAACCTATCCGTCTACAACCTAGTCCGGCATATTTCCCGCCTCCGCCCGGAGGTATTCCCGACGAACCCGGCAATGGGAGGGGACGGCAACAGAACCGTGGAGGGCAGTACAGGAACCGCAATGTGATAAGGACTTTGGAAGACCGTACCTTGGAGGATGGGCTTTTCAATCAACCTTGGGGGTAATTCCCTCGGCTTAGCAGTGCATCTCCCCGGTTTCATTTGTTCCTGTTTGCTCTGTTCGCTGTCTTGTGGGTGGTTAGTGGATTTGTTTTGCCTGCGTAATCGTACAGCCTTTCCTCCTCGGCCCAGCCGTGGGCGTATGGATGGCGAGTTCACAACAAGAGAGCGCTCTGGATTCACATTAAAAAAAAAAAAGTCCCTTGTGTGGGAAGAAAAAACAGGAACAGGACAGCCACGCGCATCCGAATGGATAGGGATTAATGGAGGTTAAAATGAATCGAAGGAGACGGCGTGGAAACATCATTTGTAAAAAGGAGCCTCTTTGGTTCCTTCAAAAGATAGTTTTTCCTTTTATATTTACGATTATCCTATGCTCACGACTAACCAGTTTCTCGTTGTATTGTTTCGTGTTCTTTCTTTTATCTTCCAGTTTTAACGAATTTGAGGAGGCTTTGTTTTTTTTTTTTTTTTTTACCCCTTCATTTCTCCTCTTCTCTTCCTTTCTAGCTGCTGAAAACGGATTATTTTGGATTGGGTGGATGGCATATGGCCTGGGTGCTTGAGTCGTTGCGAGTGATTATTTGTGAGTTGAGATGGTGATCTTGTGATCAGACAAAAATGACCACAGCGCTGTCCATGGTTGTTGTGAAGGTGTTGTACGATAGGCGGACCCCATTTTTTATCTTCTTCATTTTTCATTTTTCATTTTTTTTTTTTTTCATTCTCTTCTCTCGGTCTCGAGGGATAGGGATTCTTTAAAGCACATATGCAGGCAAATATATGTATGAAATACATGAATAAGCCGTTTGCGGATTAAGCCTGCCGACAGGCTTGGCGCTCGAGCAACAGTGTTTTAAGGAAAATATTTGCGTTAACATAGCACTGCGAAAACACATTTTCTCACCCCTGTGTGACTGCACACTCTATTATCCCTAAATCCTGTAGGCTTCAGGCCTGGTTGAAGCGGCACTGGCGACAAAATGAGTGCCCGGTACTGGCATTTCGACTGCGTTGCATTCGTGCTCTCGGAAGTCGCGCCCCTCATTATGGGCCCCTGCCAAAAAAAAAAAACGCAGCGTGAACACTCCGTACTCCACCCTGCCGTAGGCTACCGATATCCACGAGGGTATCCACGAGGGTAAACCCATTCTAGAGCCGAACATGACTTAATCTACTTCATAAATGGTTGTATCCTATAATAATAGTGATTGGATTTTTTTATACAAGTAGAACTTTTCTCTTTGCTATTGACTGCCCGATCCTGGTGAATATATCATGAAAGAGCGAAGCTGGGGCGTTAGGAAGCCCCATGGAACATAGGAGCATACTGTACGAGTAGGTTTGATAGGATACCGTAGCCTAAGGGTCCCGGGTCACGGGCGTGACAGGCGGCGGCTCTAGGGCAGTGCAACGAATAACCCTCAACCACACAGGGCTGTCTTTTTCTTTTCTTTTCTTTTCATATCCCACACCAGCATTTGTGTCCACCTTGAACACGCGAAATACTATCAGGACAAGCTCCCCTACCACAGCCATATTCGAACTCCCGTCCTTCGCCGATACAGGAATCTCCCTAAATTTCAGATCGCCCACCCGTCCACCGTTGTTGGTTGAGATTCAGCAATCATGTCCCGGTTCTTTCACGGAGGTCTGAGCGACAGCGATACATCCTCCTCCGACGAGGACCTGTATTCAGAAGAAGAGGAGGAGGAGGAGGCTAGCGCCGACGAGTCCGGTTCCGAAGACGAGTCGGACGAAGCCGACAAAGATGACGATGATGATGCGGGGCTAAAATTCTTGTCCCGTGGGGGAGGTGGTGATGATAGCAGCGATGAAGAGGATGGCAAACGCATCGTCAAGAGTGCGAAGGACAAACGACTGGAGGAGATTGAGGGCTCTATCAAGCTCATCGAGAATGGGGAGAAGATCAACGACTGGGTGGTTATATCTGTGGGTGGGTACCATTCCGACTCTACTTCACGATGCCTGGTTTGGTGCGGGGGCGGGGCAGGGGGGTTGTCCAGTGGGGCACTAGGATAACATTTTCTTTGATTATAGAATTCGAGAAGCTCAACAAAATTATATTAAAGAGTCCTGAGATACCAAAGGTTTACATCAGAGCTATTGCCGACTTGGAGGATTTTATGAACGAGACCCTCAAGGACAAGGCTACGGCCAAGAAGATGAACGCTACCAATGCTCGTGCTCTGAATACAATCAAGCAACGTGTAAAGCGTAATAACCGTTCGTATGAGTCGCAAGTCGAGTCATATAGGAAGGACAAGGAAGGATTCATGGTTGAGGAGAGGGAGGAAGTCGTTCCAACCCCTAGGGCGCCGCGTGTTCATGACTCGGGTGTCTCCTTCGAGGATGATGATGAAGGGTTCTCTTTGGTTGGGCGGGGCGGAAGGGCCATGGTGTATACTCCTGAGAGTATTTTCAAGCATCTGCGAGTTATTATTGAGGCGAGGGGAAAGAAGAATACGGACAAAGGAGAACAGATTAAGGTTATGGAAAAATTGTATGAAGTGGCCCATACACCCTATCAGAGAATCAAAGTCCTTCTGGCTCTCATTTCCACACGATTCGATCTCACTACTGGCGCCCTCTCCTACATGGCAACTGATCAATGGAAATCGTGAGTACCGCTAAAGGTATTTTCAACCTTGACAGATTGCTGACTAATATATGCTTTGCAGTGCTGAAAAAGAATTCAATACACTATTGGAAGTTTTGGAAGCTAACCCCGATTATGTTGTTACTGAGACTGCTGAGGAATGGGATGATGATGAAAAACCACCCCAACCAGCCCCCGGCGAGATTCTCAAGATCCCGGGAAGCATTGTTTCCTTTGTCGATAGGCTCGATGATGAGCTTACCCGATCACTGCAGCACATTGACCCTCATACAACTGAATATATCGATAGATTGAGTGATGAAGGCGCCCTGTACACAACCATCCTGAGAAATCAGCTGTATTTGGAGAGACTCCGAAGAAACCAGAACATTCCTACCGACGAGTCGCTGAACCGTGTTATCATGCGAAGACTTGAGCATCTGTATTTCAAGGTAACCCTTACAGAACCCCTATCATGCATCTTGCTGACCTCTGTTGCAAGCCCGAGCAAGTTATTATCACCGCTGAGGAGAACGCTTGGAGGTTGATTCCCACCGAGCTTAACTCTGTGGTTTCTCCTA